AGCGGGCTCCCGTAGGGGAACTGSTCCTTGTCGCTGCTCTGGGTGTTCACGCTGGGGTTGCTGGAGCTGATGAGCACAGGGGAGCTGATCTGCAGCGCGGGGCGCTCAGTGGGTGTGTGCACCATCCTGTTCAGGGTGTTGAGGGCTGTGGTGATGGAGAACTGCCGCAGGCTCTTCCGTCTGGAGTCGGGCACCTTGGGGAAAGCTGCTGCATCCACAGCCTTGGCCTTGGGGGATGCTGTRCGCAGGGACGAGCCCTTCAGCTGCGGGGACCAGTGGCTTTTGGTGCTCTGCAGGATCTGCTGAGCGGGGCTGCTSGGCTGCAAGAGACCACAGGAGATGTGATGGGGTTCCAGAGGTTACACTGGCACTGCCCCTAACTGCTCCTTTTCCCTTTCCCATCAGGCAGCAGAGCTGCAGGCAAGCTTCAGGTGACATTAGAGGGAATCTTCAAAATCTTGGGGCTCTCTCATTTCTCTCATTTGTTGTCAGTGACAAATTCTGGGTGAAAATTTCCTGATTCAAAGCTGACAGCAAAATTAAAATTGGTTTGAAAAATTGTGCTAAGACAAGGGGTGACAGAGGATGAGTGCTCCCCCAATATATTTTTTGTCCAAGGCTTTGGCTGTCAGAGGTACAGGGAGAGCTGCACTAAATAACTCTTACTCTGAATTAGAAGGGATGTTTACTCTGATTTAGAAGGGATGTTTAGACTCATCTCCTTTTCTCCTCTGTGCTGCACACGTGGGTGCATCTTGCAGCCAAGCCCTGATGGTATGGCAGGGCCTCAGAGAGGCCCTCACTGGTGATGGCATTCCCAGCAGGATTAGATCCATTAGTTCCATCTCTGTCAGCTTGAACATTCATGACTCGATGCTGCTTCCATTGGAAAAATCCTGGCTGGTTAAGCACTGGGGTTAATGAGGGAGAGGCAGGCCCCAAGTTTGCATATGGGCAGTGTTCACACAGTATTTCTTGGAAACTGCTGATCAGGGTGTTAGTAGCAAAGGGCATGTGGTGACAGTGCTTTTCACCACGATGAGTGCCAGAGGAATTAATCATGATTTACTGCTGACATTAATGAATTGCAAAACTTGGAGATTCTCACCCACTCGTGGGAGGYAATGTGCTYGATACCTGGGATGGACAGGGAGACCATAGCAGGGAAGGTACAGGTGGCTCTCAGCCTTTTATTATTTTATAACAGGGGTGGTTTTCACATTTTCCCTCTCCAAAATAAGGTTAAAAGCCCACAGTGTGTGTAGGTGCTCATGTGTCATGGCCATCCTGTCATTTCTGYGTGTGATCAGACTTTAGACTAATCTGGAAACATTTTTCTGCCTCTCTAAACACCAGGAGAAATGACAAAATGGGGCACAAACTGCGTGTCAGAACCAGGAGAAGCCTCATGTCTCCCACAGTAGCCCTACTTCTCCCTTCTCTAGAATTAATTTCTAAWTCCTTGGTGGCCTTATATGTCCCTAACTAACTTGTGTCTGTTAATACCAGACTTGAATAAGTCATTACTGAAGCTAAAATTATTTCATTAAATGAAAAGACATTTAAAAAATATATTAGAGCTTCAAATAAGATGTTTTGCTTGTGTCCTCCTATTAAACAGCCACAAAGCAGGGCTTGCTGTAATTATGGGCATTACAAGTATTAATTCTATTTCTAGGAATTGGTGCCGGTGCCACTAACACCCTGCATCTCACGCTAAACTGGACAACACATTTAATGTCTAGACCAGGGCTGACCAAATAGTGCCAAGGAGCAGCAGTTTGGGAGGGCTCTGGGGCCACAGCAGCAGCAGGAACGCGGCAGTGCCGCTGGGCTGGCACCACCCGGGGCTCTGTACCCCTGGCTGGGTGCTCCTTGTCACCCTGTGTGCTCGGGGGGTGATCAGAGCTGGGGTTAA